GATTGAAATTAGCGGTGCCCTTCCCTTGCCGCCATTGTTTGAGGCTATCGGGGGTGTGATCGCGTCACCGCCTCCAACGTGTGGCCCTCGACGGCGTCCAGGGGACCGGCGCAGGCGGCCGAAACTCTCGACGCGTTTGAGCTGCAGAGTCGCCAAAAAGGACTCGAACCGACCGTGTGACCCCACCAATGGATTGCTCGTTCGAAGAGCAATCCATTGGTGGGGTCACACGGTCGGTTCGGGTCATTTCCGAAGGGCGCTTCCCGATCTGGGCTACTGGCAGCGCAGGATGCACCGCCCTTTGTACGCGTCTCCAGGGATTCCTTCGTCGCCTTTCGATCTGTTCTCTCTGAACGTGACGCCACCGTCCTTTTCGACCAGGGTTGTCGAACAGGCGTGCATATTGCATTCTTGTCTGCGCGACCCCCGCCGACTGGCCACCCTACTCGATCCGGCGGACGCGTCGGGAAGCTTGGCAAGAAAGTTGGTGGTGCCGCGGCCGCGCGGTCGTCGTCGGGCTTTGCCTGATTTTCACCGTGATTTGCAGTGTGCCGTCTCCCGCTGTTGCGGCCGAGGCTCGGCTCGCCGTAGGTCGTGGACTTGGTCGTGGATCAAGCTACACGACCGGTACTTGTCCCTTGCCACCTCCGGCGTCCAGTTACCTCCCCGACAAGTGAAGGCACCGCCGAAGCCCCACCGCGGGCCCCGCCCCGCCCCGCCCCACCCTTCGGTCACACGAGACACCAGTGGCCAACTCGTCGCCATCCCCGAGACTGCCTCCCCCGCGATCCGTGCTCGCTGCAGCGCTGCAGTTTGGCGGCGGTAGCTGCAGCGCTGCAGTTTGGGGGCGGTAGCTGCAGCGCTGCAGTTTGGCGGCGGTAGCTGCAGCGCTGCAGTTTGGGGGTGGTAGCTGCAGCGCTGCAGTTTGGCGGCGGTAGCTGCAGCGCTGCAGTTTGGGGGCGGTAGCTGCAGCGCTGCAGTTTGGCGGCGGTAGCTGCAGCGCTGCAGTTTGGCGGCGGTAGCTGCAGCGCTGCAGTTTGGCGGCGGTAGCTGCAGCGCTGCGCCGCCGCGCGTCCCTCGGCCTCGGCGCTCTCGGCGCTCGGGGCAGGATGTCGCCGCTTTGTCAGCCGACACGAATGCGACACGACGCCAACACGAACGGCCGGCACCGCCCGGCACGCACGCCAGACCGCAAACTCTTTTGTTGTTATTGGGACCGGCGGAGCGATGGGTCGCGTTGCGTGTCTCGACACTGGCTGTCGATGAGCTGCAGCAGCAGACCGTACCGCCGCAACGCCGCAACGCCACACACACGCGAGCCCGCACATCATCACAAGTTGACAACATTCGATGCTCCTCCAGAATGCGCAACTGAAGTACTGAATGGATTTGTTTCGTTCGTGTTTGGTCGGTGAAAATGCTCTGAATATGGCCGGAACAAATGGCGAATCTGGTCGGATAGGAGTACGGTAGACGAACACCGAGAGAAAACACACACACATACACACACACACACACACACACACACACACACACACACTCGGAGTCCCTGTTGGGACGCCGACGCCAGTGTCGAGCCCCGCCAAAGCTCCTCGGGCGGTTCCCCCTCCCCTCCCCCTCCCCTCGGCTCGGCGCGGTGACCGCGGTGGTGGCGCGGTGGCGAGATCTGTCTCCCCGAGGGCTCTCATTCCTGCCCAATCAAATCCTCCGTGCCCCACACACCGCGGTCGCCCGATTTCGGAGTGCTCTGTCTCTCTGGCTCGGCCCTCTGGGCCCTCTGGGACGGCCCGCACCGGTGAGCGAGGGCCGGGGCTCGCTGCCACACTGTGTTCTCTGGCGACGTGGCGCGCCAATTGGTGTCGTGGATTAGGACGCGTTCGGCAGTAAAGCGTTATCTCTGACGCCGCGGCGTCGCCCGCCACTCGGCCGACCTTCGCGTGCCAGTGTGGGGCCCTCCTGGGGCTGCCTGGGGCCCCCTGTGGGGCGAGTGTGCTCCACAGCGGCGGACAGGCTCCCCTGGAACCCCCGGAAGCCCCAGCGTGGGGTCGAACTCGGGACGGGGTGGTTTCTCGGATTGCTCCCCGCGGTTCCTTTTTGGAGATTGGAGACGAGGCTTTCGCGAAGTGCCCCCCGAGAGACACTCTCCACTTCGCGGTTCGCGATGAAACCTGCCGTGCGCGGTGGCCCTGGCGATCCGGCCGGTGCGGGCCGGGCTTGAGACACGGGCTTTCGGTCCCGGCGGCCTCGACGGCGACGACCCCCGGTGTGCCCGCCGCCCGCAGACTGATTCCGAGAGTCGTTTTCGTCGCCCTCCTGCTCTCACGGGGCATCTCACGTGGGTGTGAGAGCGAGACAGAGCGACGAAAGCGACTCTCGGAATCATAGTCTAGTCTGATGCCGTCGAGGGGACGGACCTCCACTGCCGTCGCGAGCTCTGAAAAACGGCCGCCGTCCGTCTGGTGGATTAGCTCCGAGGGCCCCGCGGTCTTCATCCCTCTCAGCGCGCAGCCTGGGCCGCCCGGGCCGCCTCTCATCGCGGCCAAGCGCCCTCTCTCCCTCTCCCTTGGCGCGCAGGGAGCGGCACGGCGACGCGGCACGGCGACGCGGCACGGCGACGCGTCCCGGACCGAACCGCCACGCGTTCGCCGCGCTCGCCGCGCGTTCGCCGGGGAATGGGGACTTGGGACTTCCCCGCCGAAGCGCCAGCGCCGCCAGGATCGCTTTAAATTCATGGCTTTAGTGTCGGCGGTGCGAGGCGCAGCGCCGCAGCGCCGCAAAACGGAGGCCGGGCAAGACTGCCTGCTTGCCGTGCTTGCTGTGGAAACACAGTCAGCCCTTCGTTTCGCGGCGGGAAGGCTCAATTTTTTTATTTTTTTGCGGGCCTTCTCGTTGGCATTCCCGCGGCTGATTCCCGCTCCTCCTTCACATGCCGGCCGCGCGTCCAACGGCCAAGCCTCGCGTGGGCGTCCACTGTAGGGGTGGGTCAGTGAAGTACGGGGGAGAGGCCCGGAGGGGCCGCGCAGGCGCCTCGCGCGAGGGCGGCATTCGCGTTGTCTCTCACTCTCTCACTCACTCACTCACTCACTCACTCACTCACTCACTCATTCACTCACTCATTCACTCACTCACTCACTCACTCACTCACTCACTCACTCACTCACTCACTCACTCACTCACTCACTCACTCCACAAACCCCCTCGCTTGCTCTCACCCACGCCGAAAATGAAAAGGGGTTCATTGGACTGGACCATTCATGTGATTACACTTCTTCTAAGTAAATTATCTCGAATCAAGAAACCGCTGCTTTTGCGTGTGCACACCCCCTCTTACTCTCTCTGTCAACACACATACATGCACCTTTACGCTCTTTTTCTACCGCATAGCCGTCCACACGGACACAGCCGCATCAATATCAACTTCCGTTCAGCCTGATGAGAAGTCCCAACTCCCCCCGCGACGGTTCGAGTGGGCTTGTTGGGGCTAGTTGGCCGTGCGATTGGGAATCGGGCTGGGCGCCTGTTGACGAAAGTTGACGAAAGTTGACAGACGTTGTCGAGGGTCCTCAGCCCAATAATGATGCGTCGCGTTTGCGTGCTGTAGTGCAACTTTGCAACGCGTATGCTGCCGACAGCCAGGCGAATGGTCGTTCCCTTCAAATGGTTGTTGCTGCTGCTTGGCGCAGAACCCCTTGCTAATGAGGGCGCACTTGACCCTCCGATTTACAAGCGCTGCCCCGATGGCGGCCCATCCGCGGCCCGCCGGCCGGAAGTTGTGGTTTCCGGACGAGGCGATACCATACCCTTCCTGTGCGGTGCGCGGTAGCGGCGGTAGCCCAGAAGCGTTTTGCCCTCTTTGCCCCCCTCCCTCGGGCCCTGTGTGTGTGTGTGTGTGAGTGTGCGTGTTAGTGCGTGTGTGTGCGTGCCTACTCGCTCCAGCGGCGCACATGCCATCATTAAGGTTGTAATGAAATTACGACGCGCGTGTCATATTTTGCAATGTTTATGGCGAAGATGGTCTCGGTGCGCTGCGCTGCCGCGCCGCCCTCGGACGACAGCAGCCAATCAGGACGCTCCGGTCATCCGACTCCAGAGTGTATGGCATACACTGTATGCCGCGCGGGCTTCGTATGTGACGCGTCGGCCGGTGTTGTGTGTCCGACACGGCGTCTGCGTCTCGGCCGCCTCAGTTTTGACTGGCACGACCATTCTGCTTTCGATGTTGAAAATCAACGGGTGAGAATTGTGTCCAAATTTTGGCATGAAATATTTCTTACCGTCTTTTGGTAAAAATCAAAAATTTTCAGCCAATTCTTGCGTTTATTGTCACACTATCCTGACGAAGGAAACAATGCTCACCGCTACAGGCGGGGAGAATTTTGACTGTTACCACACACGCAGTTAATGTCTTACGGTTAAAGGCTGCACCAACATAATATGGTGGAGATTTTCCCCATAATACCAACGAAATTCGTCCAAATCTCTGTAAGGTACATTGAATTCTCAATGGTATGTTACGAAGTCAGCTGCACCATCATAATATGGAACATTTTCACCATAATATGGAGAATTTTCACTGTACAACATTTAGAGTGCAAAGGTGGGAATATTTTTTTCTGATTCTTGGCTTAACCTTTGCGTTGGGGGCTCTGCCCCGCGGTGGCATCGGCTCATGATCGCCGTGGTGGCGTTCGGCGACACCTTGATTGGGGTTGAGCCCGCCAGCCTGCCGGTCTTCTAGTAATTGAATAGAATGGCAAAGCGTAATGGAACGCCCTCTCCGGCCAGACGCGGCAATTGGATTAGAGCGTCCCCTGCCGTCGCCGGCCGCACGGCCGCCTAACCAGATCAACTTAAAATGAAACGGACAATGCTCCCCCATCCCCTTTTCAGGCTCGGTCGGGTCGCCCCCCCGTGTTTTGCGTCGGCCACTGTACGAAAGTTGTTAGTGTCCGTCCTCGATCAGGCCCCGTCCTTGTTACTTTGTCCTTAACGCCAGACAGATTGAGAGCCTGCACGCCCGGAACAAGGTCCCCGTCGTCGTCGGCGGCACCCACTACTACGTCGAGTCCATTCTGTGGAAGAACCTAGTCGGCAACAGCGACGCCAGCGACTCGAGTGAGTGATTGTCATTAAATGGGATCAATCAAGTGATGATGGACGAGAGTATTTCGTGGCGACACTTCCAGATCGGCTGCATCACACTCCCCGAAACGTTTGAAACATGAGATAGAAAGTAACACATCGCGTTTTTATTTTTACGGGTATTCCAGGACATCAATTGAAGTGTGAACGCGCGGCTCCAGGGCATAGATCCCTGGAAACGGAACGGGGTGACTCAAAAGTTTCCTCCTTACAAAGTGCGGGGTTATTACCCCTGCTGTTTCAATACGTTTTCGGCCAGGCTGTGGCCTGATCGACACTGGGATCGACACGAGACATAACAAATATTTTGACAAACGTGACAGAAATCGCGTTCCAGCTTTTATTTACGTTACATCACTGGGATACCGGTGAATTGTAAACACCGAGCACACATCGGAATGAAAATCAGTTACCGCAACTGTACTTCCACGCGACTGAATGTGTTGCCCTTGCCGCAGCCGCGGACGGACAGGCCCCCAGGAAGAGGCCGCACCGGGACCAGTATGTGATCGCCGGCCGCACCTTCGCCAACCTGGACGACCTGGAGAAACTGGGCACCGAGGAGCTGCGGGAGATCCTGAAGGAGATCGACCCGGCGTCGTGGGAGCTGCTTCAGGACCGGCGCAAAATCAGGAGGTAAGGCCGACCCTTGTCAATGAAACGAATGAATGAAATGGGCGTTTAGATAAGGCGCCAGGATATTCGTATGGCCGGCACGGGCCCCGCAATCAGGGGGCGTTTTATGAAACATAAACACAATTATTGGTATGTTGATTATGCGCCCCACTGTCGTGCTTCATCTGTGCGGACTGAGCGGAAAGCGCACCTACCAGGACCGCTCACGACGCCAAATCCGATAAAAATCTCCATCCCGCACGCGATTTAAACATCACCCCCGCTATCGTGCGATCTGGATATTGAATGCTTTTGCGACCAGGTCGACGGGCGAGAAGTGGGACGCCTTGCCTCGGGACCGAAGGGCCGCGTGACGTAAGGGCGACTAGGACGCGGCGTGGAAGCGTTTCCAATGTTATTTACGACAAGCGTTTAATGAATCTTGTCCACCACCCGGGCTTCATTTTGGTCGGTCGGTACGTGATATTGGACCTGTTTGGGTTGTTCCGTTTACCGAGTGTCGATAGAGGAGTGTAAAGGCAGGAGGGAATTATCCTCTGGGAATAAGTTGGGAAGTCGCTGCCGGATCGGCCAGGTCGGCTCCATCCACCAAATTGCCCCAAGTGAAAGTCTGGTCCCGGCGGCCGCCGACGGCCACACATAGTTTGACGGGCACCGCGGTGTCGCTACGTTATCTGTCTCTTTCTGCGAGAGGGAAAGTGCGGGGGAATCTGTTATCTGGTCTTTTTAACGCGGCGGTAGCGAAAGACCGGCCCTTTTCCTCGGCGTCGTCTAGGGCCCCTGGCATGCCCCCTGCAGGGCCCGGCTCGCGATAAGCTGGCTTACCCTTGCCTTGATAAGGCGTGTTTAACGAAGCCGTCGGCATGACGTCCCAGATGTCGCCCGCCACAGACATACTGACGAGTCATTTCCAAGGGGAACGTTTTGTAGCATTTCCGTTGTTCAACTGCTAAACCGCCACAGCACTTTTTGTTCCCTCTACTTTTTGCGTTTTGGTTCTCTCTTGCGTCTACGCTGCGCTTGGTTCGTTCCCTCGGGGTCTAGCGCTGATGCCGCCCCCTCCCTGGGCATGCACGGACGAACGAACCAATGAAGTGCAATCAAGCTCAGCCTTGCTAACAAGTCGGCGCTGGGGGTGTAGGCGGGGTCAGCGCGCACTGACGGCTATCGGGCCGTGGCCGGCCGTGGCGTCCCCGCCTGGTCTGCAGAGTGGACGACTTTTCGGACGCCGGGGCGGTTCGCTGCCCAGTCCCAAAAAACCATGGAGCATCCCATGAGTCATGGGACGCCATGGGACACCACGGGCCGATTTTTCCCATGGGGAAGATATCCCATTGATTTTTTGCACCATTTCCCATGGTGTTGAGCAACCCATGGGGAGATGCCCCATGGTGTGTGTCCCATGGGAGCACTTCCTTGCCATGACAGAGTGTCTAGAAAGATCATTGTATGAAGTGCCTCCGTCTGAGAGGGTCATCAACCACTTTAATGTCCGCCTAAGGTGAACTTTTCACGATACAACCGATTTTGAAACTAGATTTTGTCTACAAGTCACCGTTGACATGATATTACCTAAACGTAAAAATTAGACGGAGACTTCAACGCACGGGCAGGAATTCCATCCCATGGGAATGGCGACGCCATGAGATAGTTCACACCATGGAGAGGCCCTCCCATGGTGTTCATCCCGCGCCATGGGAAATAACCTCTATTTTCCATGGGAGGCCACTTACCCATGGTGCTGACCCGCGTTCCCATGGGATTTCAGTTAGGTCCCATGGAATATGACTCATTGGATCCCATGCGACCCATGGTTTTTTGGGACTGGGTGCCTGCGTCAGCCTGCGCGCCGTCGCTGGAGGCAGGCTGCTGGACCCCGCCTGGCCCCGCCCGGCCACCGCCGCTGTCCGTCTGGGATCGAAATTTTTAATCGACAATTTTTATCGGTGTCTTGTCGAGCGAACGGGCGGGGCAGCCGGAGCGCTTGTCTGGTTGAACGACCCAAAGGGGCCCAACTCTCCCGCGCGGGCCTTTGTATGTGCGCGCGCGCGCGTGCGTGCGTGTGTGTGTGTGTGTGTGTGTGTGTGTTTGTGTTTGTGTGTGTGTGTGTTTGTGTGTGTGCGCGCGCATGCTGCCTGCCGGTCGGCCGCCTGATCCAAATTTTTGATTCGTGCGCGGGGTACTTTTGTTTTGTTCCCCGGTAGCGTGCCGCCCTGCCCTGCCCGCCCACTGACGCTGCCCGCCAAACGCCTCCCTTGTTCTGCGCTGCCTGTCGGTGAGGATGTTCTCGGACGAGACAGGCACCCTGCCCCGCCGCTTTCCCGGGCCTTTCCACGTCCGCGTCTCGCGGTGCGTGGCGAAAAGCGAAATGTTCTTGCGGTGTAGGGCCGCGGGCGACGTGTTCACGTGAAGTCTCGCAGTGGGGCGGGCGGTCCGGCCGGCCGGCCTTTAAATCTTAATGGGCTCATCTCTGAATTCAGGCAACGGGGTTGGTCCGCCGGCCGGACTCAGGCGTCCGACTTGCCGGCTTGCGAAGCCAAGGGCGAAGCCTGCCCGTCTGGACGGCCTGGACGTCAGAGGCACCATGCGCACTCAAAGTGCTCGCCCAGCCGTCTCAAGCAAGCCGAGAATCTCGTCCGTTCGCTGGGCGTGCCGCTGCGACGCGATGCGACCAACTCGGGAACTGTTTGTGCTTCGTAATTGCCGCCCCGTCGGCAGTGCGACGAAATATTGGTGGCGCTGGCAGCTCATTTCGAAGCCGCGCGCTGCGGCGCTGCGGCCTGTGTGCAGTACCAACACAGCAACTGCTGCACTGCACGCCCCCACCTCCTTCTCCGCGCGTCCTGAATTTTGCCTTTTCCAATATGGCTGTGTGTAATTTGCACCGACTGGTTCTCTATCTCCATCAATGCCGCCCTGTGCTTTTCACGCCGATGGAGGGAGAGAGGGAGCGACGCCCCCGCAGTGGCAGCAGGCGCGGCGTGGCGCAGCCCTCCCCCGCGCTGCTGTCTAAGCCCGCCTAACGCCTTGGTGGATGACACTGGCTTAAGTTTCAGTCGGAAATTTCCAGCTGAGAATAGCATGGCGAGGCGGGGTGGGGTGGCGCGGGGCGAGGCGAGGCGGGTTTGCCGCGTCACGCTCCTCTACCCAGTTTGTCTCCAACGGTTCGCCGGCCGTCAGGGCTTCGGGGATTTTCCTATTTTCATTATTTGGACGGAATGAGGTCGGGCGGAGTGAAGCTGCACTCGCATCGGGCATTAGCGCACCTGTGCGCACCGCCGCGTGGCGTGGCGGGTTGAAAAGTGGAAAACCGCGCTCGGCTTTTCTATTTCGTTTTCGCCTGTCCTGAAACTGACGCGCGCGCATTTCCCCGAAAACCTCAGCCTTTTTCACGCTGCCTTTTTTCAATGATCGTTGGCGCGTCAGCGGCCACGTGCAAAGTTTAAATTAAAAGTTTGGTTTTCTTTTAATGTTCATTTTTTTCGGGGGGATGTCGGTGCTTTGTGCGGCATATGAACTGCTGTAGCGGAAATTTGGCTCCTAGCAACTTGCTTTTTCTTTTTCTTTTTTTTTTTTTACTCGCAGCAGCATCTAAGGCAGCGATGCGGCGCGTGTGGCGAGAAGGGCGGCCCAGGGGCGGCCTGGAGCTGCGGGCTGGCTGTGGCGGACGACCCGATAACCTCGAGGGCCATCGCTGGGCACTGATATCGCAAGATTTACTGCACAAGTGGTTGTTGCCAACGTCCACCGCGCAGCTGCCGGCCCTTCGACTATCGAGCGCCACCCGTTTTTATATGCCTTTTTGTGGCTTGTGACAAAAACGCGGCGACGTCGGGGTGGAAGGTGCCGCGCCGCTCGCCTTTTGCAACACGGCCTTATCTTTTCCGGCAGTCGCGCTGGCAAATCAGCGGGTCACTGGGTCCGCTGTGGCCGCTAGACGCACCCCCACGGCCAGTGAACAGAGTCCGTGTTTGGAGGTGGGTGCACTGAAAAACCAAACGTGGTCCAGACCGCATCAACTGGTGTGGTCAAATGGATGCCATTTTGACCGCATCAGTTGGTGTGGTCTAGACCACGTTTGGGGCGTTTGGTGCGGTCTAGACCACACCAAACGTGGCCAAACGTGGTCTAGACCGCACCAAACGTGGCCAAACGTGGTCTAGACCACACCAACTGATGCGGTCAAAATGGCATCCATCTGACCACACCAGTGGTGCGGTCTGGGCCACGTTTGGTTTTGCAGTGTGGGTGTGGGTGTTCGTGTGGGTGGAAACGGAGACCTTCTCACAGCTCTCAAAGGCGTCGTCGGCGCGGCCACCCTTCCTGTGTCCACACAGCGTCGGATATCAATCGGTCTGATTTCCCTTATCGACCCCCCGGGCCTTGGCTCGCCGTGGCGGCACCGATAAGTGCTCCAAAGGGCACCCGAGCCGTTTAAAGGCCGCGGTTTGAAATCTCCCTGAAAGTTTCCCCGCGTCCCTGGAGTGGGAGGAGGGAAAGAAAAGATGCTTTAATGCTCGTAGCCAGGCCAGGGGAAGAAAGGGCGTGGGGGCACTTTGCACCAACAGAGGTGAAAAAGTGAGCGCTTTGCCCGTCAGGTCTTTGCGGATGGGGAAGGCGGGCGCGAAACAGACTGAGGGTCGCCGATCGAAAGCAGGCCGAGCGGCACCGAAATGCATAGAGAGGGTCGTCAGAATAATGGTTTTATCGTGTTCTCGTGTGAATTCTTCACGACTTGTCGGCGAACCGTGGAGTGTGTTACAGTGGACATGCACAAGAACGTGGGCGCGCAAGAGCGTGGCGCGCCACGTGGCCCTCATCGCGGCGGCCCTCGCCGCGGCCCGTCCGACCGTGCTCAAATGGGCTGGCAAAACGGCCAATTCGGCGTTACGGCGTCAAATTATGCTCGCCCCGAGGTGTGCTTGGCGTCGTGGTGCTGCGGCCTCCCCTGCCTCCCTCCAGGCTGGAGGCTCCAGGCCGAAGAGCCCACGGCCCAAGGC